CCAGAATTGATGAATAACATGATGAGATGTGCTAGTCCAGTCACTGCCAGTTCAGCTGACATTACTTGCCTTTTGTTATGAATTTGTTGATTTTGTGTTATTTATTGCAAAGGTCACGTTAATTGTAATTATAAGGTGCTGCTTCACTATAGTGTGACAAAGCACATGGTAGGTACTGGGGCATTTCTACTGTAGCTTCGGGGTGTGTGAGCCTTGCCATTCTCTGGAGCTCCTGGGCTTTTTATCTTGAATAATCTGGGAGCCACAGGAAATCAAAATCCCTCTCTCACAGGAAACTCGCTTTGGCCAGGAAACATCTTCCACCTTCGAACAGAAAGATTTACAGTGCTGTTCCAAGTCACGGCTTTCCACAGGTAGATGAGACTGACCTGCTGTTTATCCAAACACATCCCAAAATACAGTCTTTAGTGTGACGGGGCATGGCGCCTTGTAATGTCTGACGACATGAAGACTTGAGATGTGGTGACACAGCCTCCTCGCCTGTCTGCTGCCTTTTCATCATCAGTGGCAACAGTGTTGTTTTTGGCTGATTGTACGTTTGCATATATTTTATAGTCAGAAACACACACCGTATTTGGGTTAGGAATGATAATCCACTCATCTACAAGAGGATTTGAAATTCTCAGGGGCATTAATGAGTTTGTGGTCAGGTTTATTTTGGGCTTTAGATTACAGAGTTCCACCAGAAAAGCAGTGTTTTGTTATTACTAACCACGACTCTGCTCATGATATCAATAGACCAAGGGTGTATGAGCAGTGACACGACTGAGGCCCTTATAACAATGGTTTGAAAACAAAAGCACATTTATGTGTATGAAATAGTTCCTTTTTGGAAATGCAGCTTTGCACATGTTGAAGTTGCTACACTAATGAAGTTTTTCCCAACCTCCTCTTGCTCTGCCCTGCGTGACTGGAGATGTTGATTGTGCGTTTTCAGGAAGAGAGTGCTTAATGAATGCTTGCTGGCTTCAAAGACGGTAAAACTCCTGGTCTTTAAGGCATGCATCAAAGTATGTAAAAAAGAGGCTGTAATTTCCTTCATCTTAATGACCTGTAGTTTGTACTGTAGCTCATCTCCTTTAAGCTCTCCGATGGACAGCCAGATAAGTATGATGACAAGTCACCTCCTTCTCAATACGTGTTTGGCTGTAAAAGAGGTTCCAGTTCAGGTCTGTCACAAAACATGAACCAGCTCTCTTTCCGGTGTGAAAAACAGAAAGGATGCAGTATAAGTGAAACTCTCTGATTTTATTGTAGGGACTTGAATGGGACTGGTGATACAACAACCCACCCGCACACTCAGGGCAGCTCCTGCAGAATAACACTGACAGTCTGGCACTAGAACATTATAACCTTGGGCCCACAAGAAAGTCTTTATCTAGTTACTTTATTAGTTACTGAGTTATTTGACTGAAACTTTTGTCCAAAACAACTTACATTTGTAGTAATGTGGGTCATTTTAGTGCAGCAGCATGAAGCACATTGCCCTTAATGTACCTTGTTTCATAAATATGCAATTTGTTAAGTTGTTTTTCCAACAAAACATAAGAGAGGCATGGCTCACATTTTCAAGAGGAGTGATTAAGTTAAGCATTGTAGGCAGCTGAGAGGCTAAGCAGTTTGCTCTGCCTTTATCTTGTAAGGCAAGATGATTTTAATTAACATTATCCAAAGCTTTTAAGACAGGATTAGGTAGCTGCACTATTGTAGCATTATGAATGGTTTAGGTAACAATGACCAGTACATATATAAATTCAAGTGAAGTTTACTGTACTTTATATATAGTCTATACATAAGGAGATAATTTAAACTAAATCACCAGTTAGCATAAATGCACTGCATTTTACAAATGTGTTATATCCTCTAATAGATTTCAATTTCTTTGAGTTATTTAGATGCAGGTTAAAAAAAACATCTATAGATTTTATAGTTACCTTTTAGAAGGGTAAGTATATTCAGTAGTTGTGAGAAAATGTGTGTAATGTTCATTTTAATAATATGCAAAACCCTGTTACAGAATATGAAAAAACAGCAACAAATGATAAATGTAAAGAAATACATTAAGAATTGAAAATGTTATTGCAGTACTAATTCCTGAACTGTTTCTTTCACATTAAAGAGAACTGTTGGACAAGAATTTGAAACTCTTGATAAAATAAGCATTTCCTTAAAATATCTTGCCTGTCTATGACTGAAGTTGAGATTTTCCCTCATTCTGAATTCCCTGGGCTTCCATGACAGTCTTCCAGGAAGGGCTTATACCCCTTCAGCACAGCCGAGCACTCCGAGTTTTCCCTCTGATTTGCAGTATATCTGGGCAGTGTCAGCTCAGGCCGAGAATCACAGCTCGAGAGATAATCCTCTGAAGACGTTTATTGTCCCCTGCTGAGAACAGTCACAACTGTTGGTTTATTTTGTAATTGAGAACTGATCTTTAATTCTGGTAAAGAAATAGACAACTTTATATGAAAGCAGATTCCCCTCCCTTAATCTGCAGAGGTTACATCAGGTACAAGATATCCTGAGATTCCCTGTTATGCATGCAATGCCTTATCACACAGGAGTGCTAGTAACTGACAAATGTAAAATAATAAAAATAATATATAACCTGGTGCACTGGGATAATAAATAATCTATGTGTCTCATGGTAGCTTTCTGTACTGTAGTGCTCAATCCCACTGGTGATACTCTACCGGTCCTGGATTCAGTGTTTTCCCAGTTCGGGCGTTGTGTGTGAAGTGGTACGAGCAGCACTGGTCCCTCCGGCCGAGAGCTAAACGTGGGTGGATGCCCATATGAACCCCACTGCCCTCACCCCGGGGCTCCAGATATCTGCTTTCACAGCTAAGTTACTGCTTTCTTTTCATTTTGAATAATAACAGAACCAATAACCAGAGCAGTCCCAGCGGTCACTGAGCCTGGACCGGCCCTAGCTTCAATAAGGCAGTGTAAGAGTCTTCAGAGCGTCAGTCAGAATCGTGTCTTGTTGCAACGTGGTAAGCACTGAATACACAATAGTGTTCCAACAGCTAGGTGTGCTAGAGTACATACAGCTGTAAAATCAATGTGTGATAAGAAAAAAATGAAAAAAGAGGATTACAGGGGAATATTTTTGAAGGATTTTTTTCATCTTCTCTACAGTTTAAATCATAAATGACCAAACTACCTGGTGATACTTTGTTTATTAAAGTATTATTTTTTACTGTTTTTTCATAAGAATCAACAACATCCCTTATTTAACTAGTTCAATCAGCTGAGAACAGATTTGAAATTCAGCCTAAACCTTCCAGAGATGTAACTGACCCTGAACTGCTGAAATTCCTGTCTGCTATTAGTGTAAATATTGTAGATTGGTAATGAATCTGAATATGTAGCACTTTATGTGAAACAGTGATTGTGTGAAAATAAGCCATGATCTGCAGAACTTCCACTTCAGCTGCTAGATGAATTATTAAAGATGCTGACCTTCACTGCAGAAGCTTGAAAGGTTTGCATCCCACAGAGCAGCTCTCTTCATGGCAGTGGTGACGCTTTATCTGGTTCTTTGAAATGTTTGGCTTAACACATTAAACCACCTTGCAGACATTATTCTCTGTCCTAATCAGAAAAGAACGCAGTTAGGCTGCAAAATGTAATTTCAATCTTTCAGGTTGTTAGTTTCTGTGTGGTTCAAATTCTATTTGCAACATGAGGGTTCTCCTTTACCAAAATGAAGAGAGGTGAGGTGAGGTACAGCGAACGCAGAGTGAGTGTTTGTGATGCTGTGCTTCTGTAGGCCAGTCAGAGTGTGAAGTGTTACTTCAACTCTCCATGTGATATTCCTCATATTACATGCAGTGGTGAAGGTTTCTTTCAAACCGCAGGTCTAGTATACTTAACAACAGCAGGTCGAAATGTTGTTTCTCTGTTGCAACTTGACAATAGCAGTGCTAACCACAGAAAGTACAGCTCTCAATAAATAAAATAACCCTTGGGATAGCATTAGCATCAAAACACCTTGATGGGCTGTATTGTCTACACAGACACATACTAAAGAGGGAGTGCGTTTACTCAGACAATGCCGTGTGCTGTTGTCAACATTGCAGGGTTAAGTAGGTGGGACAAGTTGATGCTCCATACAAACCAGTAGTTTGGTTTTGCGTGTGTGTTGGTTCAGTTCCTTTGTGTCTGCTCCCATCGCCTTCAGCAGTGCCTCTTCTGTTCAGAGGTGAATTGCATTCATTATTTGTAACAATACATCTATGTTGTATGTCAGGCCAGGACAGTGAATGGCAGAAAGCTGACACCCTGAAGGGGTGGAACCGAACGAAATGGGATTAAAAAGCCAACAAACACGGATCAGTGGTTCAGTTTCATTATGTCCAAGAGCTGCGGCTGAAAGGTGATGACCTTTCAACTACTGCTTGACTGACAGCTTAGTGTACACACTGAAAGCACTTTTGACCTGGGAATACAGGATTCAATTAAACTAGGAAATGAAGCTATGTTCTGATCACTGCTGTAGCAAAGTGTTTCCCCTAAACGAAACACTCTGATAAAATTGTGAGCATCCCATTGAGTTTCTGATGTTTTTTGGCCAGGGCCATTTGCGCCTAAGTACTTTTGATATTTAATGTGTTCAGTTTAGAAAATGTGAGATAATTTCCCTCCACTAGGTTTCCTGAACCAGACTGTGGCAATATTGATATTCAGCAAAGGGTAGCGCGACGTCTGTTTCTTATTTCAAAGTACGTGTTCAAGTTCTCAGAGTTATGTTAATAACAGTTTTCTAAATGGGCCGTGACGCCTGAGTTGCATGTGGAAAAACACAAGCCTGCAGGAGGAGGAGAGCGGTCCGGGAGCCACTGTTTGTTCAGTTTATTGCCAATGTCAAGCGCCCGCTCTGAGCTGAGCCCGAATCACCCTGATCACTTGTGACAGTCCTGCTTCCGCTCCGGCTGGAATGTGCAGATGGCCACCATGCACTTCTCTGTCCTCAGGTGTAAGGGCGCGTCGCACTATGGCCTCTCGGCCGACAGGAAGAGACGCTCTCAGGAAGGTGACGGCACCGACAGCACAGCTGAGCTCACCGTGGCTGCGGTGCCTTCGGAGGTGCCCGGCTCTGCCGCTGTGGCCTTGCTCTCCGATGACCCGGGGCTCGTGAACCCTGCCTTCGACCCCAGCGCGGAGGACAGCCAGACTGGGAGCAGCACGAGCCTCTCTGCAAGAAACAACACCAAAAAACGTGGGTGATGAAAAAACGCATCGCCTCAGCCCTGGTCACGACTCATAATGGCGCTATGCCACATATCCTGAGCCAGTTCTTCTTCTTAACGTCAAACCAGTTCTTTCTGTGCCACATGTTTAGAAACACTTTCTTCCTGTGCCGAGGATCTTGATGACCTTCGGCAAACCTTGTCCATCTAGATAATGTGATCCCAACTTTAACCTGGGTTGAATCCTCCCTTTCCTTACTCCCAGATAGCTTAGACAAAGCTGCATGGGCTTCTGAAACTTAAAAAAATTGAATTTGTCAAACCAGTACTCCAAATTTATCGCACCAATTTACATCTTTGGAATATCCTAAAATGATTTGGATGTGCAATGCTGAAAAAACTAAAAAATATATGATTTGGATTGCTATCCTTGGTCAGAGTGGGACTGCTGCCCTGTTTGTGGTAATGTTAATAATTCATCAATTGCAGGTTTTCAAAGCCCTGTGGAAATAATATTAGAATAGATGTGTTGCAGGGACATGAATGCTTCTCTGTATGGGTTTACTGAAGTTAAAGTGCTCATCTCACAGCTACTATACAGCTGAAGTTTTCAATTTGATTTTAAAGAGGACAGCAGGTCTGGAAATCTCGGAGAGGTGAAATGCTGTAATCCAGAAATGCACAGGAAGCCCTCCTTTTCATTTTCCCTAGTGGCCATGAAGAGTAGGCAGGAGCAGTCCGAAGTAGGAAAGCATCCCAGACAAGTCCAGACATGATCCGCAGGGTAGAGCCCAGGCTAAGACATCTTTCTGCCCACCTTCTCTCTCCACAGTCCGAAATTTCGACCGCACATCTGCCAGGAGCAGGTCCTTCAAACGCCTGAACAGGGCTTTCAGCGTCCTCAGGAGAACGAAAAGTGGGAATGCGGTTGTCAACGAGACGGTGGAGGAGCGTGACAACTTGAGGAACTCCCACGTTCCCCGGGAAGGTAAGGACTCCGTGTGCCTGTCTGCCGTGACAGAGAGGAGCCTGTGGGCAGCGTATACTGTATCTCTTTGTTCACAGTTTCTTTATGAGAATAAGACCTTATGTGTCAGTCAGGAATGATCTGTTTTGATGCAAGACTAAACATTGATAATAATAAAAAGCTTTATGTTCTTCTTATTTGACCTGAACTCTGTGTCACAATGTGTCACAAACGCTTTTAAACTCTCATGAGAGGGGCATGAATTCCTCATTTTTTTAAAAGATTTGTGCTTAGATCTAGATTGAAACCTTTTAAATCAAATGTTTGTGTAAGCAGAGGTTCACTATGATTTTCACAAGGAGCACATAGCTTTCTGTTTCCTTGAGAGTTAAAAATGTTGCTAAACTTGCAGATTTACAACAGGGTGTCTGGAAGACCTTTCTGTTCCTTCAGGAAAAGAACACATCTTGTTGTGTTACAATTATTACATTATATTAGGCTTTTTATTTACACATCCATATGTCATAAAAGTATAAATCATGGTTTCCTCCCCGTGCAATGAATCCTTTGTAACGATTTTTTCTGTTTTCTACAGTTTATCTCAGGATTATCATATTTCTCTTCTCTGATAGAGGTATTCTTTCTGCATGTCAATGAAAAGAGATTCCCTGTGGAAAAACATCTTTACTGCTGAGCTATACATTTTTTGTTACAAAATTGTGTTATTTTTCTCACATTATTTTTAACTCCACCAGTGAAATAGTTCTACACAGCTTGTGGGCAAAATGTTTTTATGATTGGAAAAAGGACTGATTTTTGGGAGTGGAATGCTAAATCTTTTTTTGAGAAAAACAGTAGGTGGGATGAGGGGAGACAGTATTCTGTGAATTCTGCAAACCTGCTGTTGAAGCATGGCCTGACATTAGGACTACAGCTGTATCAGAAATCCAGTCAGAATATCCCATGCAGAATCTTAGGAAAAGCCATGCTCTCCACGCTGACATCGTGCCTTGGAGGTCTAGGTGACTCACACAAGTGTGCCATTCTGAACCACAGTAACCCCTGATGTTAGTTCAGCATGTGATCAATAAATCATTTCAACAGAAATTGCTCTAGCCTTCAGATCCCCAGATCCTATATACCATCATGTTGAACACCTCAATCCCAGAAAGAAAGAACACGGTGCAGCCACAGGATTTGTGTACATGATTTAGATCATTCATACCTTTGGCATTTAATACATTTCCCATTTGGGGCCTTGTACAGAAAGTTGCAACTGCTGTCTAGTCCAAGGCATTTTTGGAGGCATGTTTTACCATTTTCCGGGAGAATACTGATTTATTTTTTTGTGGGAGCTGTACCAGTTGTATGGATCATAATGCTCTGAGAAAGCAAACAAGCCTGAGGCTGAAGAGGAAGAGAACAGCAAGGTGAAATGTTGAGGTTCGACAGCGTTGCGCTGCACTCTGTACAGGGTGGAAAAATCTGATTAGGATTTCAGACAGAAGCGCCCGAATCAGGTGGTTCCTGTAAGACTGAAGGGATCTTTCCTGTGATTTATTGGAAGTGGCTCAGCTGACTTGGCAGGAAGGACTGCAGCGCACAAAAGAAAGCGGCCAAGTCTGAGACAGCAGCAGGTGGGGTAGCCAGGCCAGTGTCTGGCACACAATCCGGCTGGCTTTCACGCCTGCTGTTTCTTTCTGTGCTGTCCTGTGATCGGACTTTATCCCGATCTTTCAATAACCTCGCCCCAGAAGAGCTCTGACTTATTGTGTAGAAAATGTGGGAGGCATTCTTCTGAAACTTTTGGGAAAAAGAAGCTTTCTAGGAATTGGCTAAGAGCAAAGAGCCCCAGTAATACCCTGTGCTTTTTGTTTTCTAACCTTTGTTCAAAGCATTGGGGTGTCTGTGGAAGTCTGTGACTGAGTGCTGTGGAAGAAGCTGGACACAAAGAAGGAAGCTGTTGACTCTGGAAATTATCCAAATGGCAACGACAGGGGGAGGAGACGCATAGCTGCAGATTCTCTGAATCTGAGGCGTAAAGTGATCTGGGAGACATGCACAGCTAAGAACAATAAGGGACATCTCTTCATGGAGTTCATCATCTGTAACACTCTTTCACGTTCCAGTTATTTGTAGTTGTGAAAAAAAACATCCTAGTTTCCTTCAGAAGTCCCTGACGCGGCCTGTGTCTGGAAGCAGATGCATCTTCCCAAGCTTCATCACTAGCGCTGCCAGCTCTCCGGAATGATGCCCTGGACTCTGGGATCTGTTCCATTCAGCCCTGGCTGCTGCTTGTCGGCCTTTGGGAGTAACAGTTTCACAGTTGTCTCAGCCAAGCAGCTGGAGGAAGTGAGAGGCGAGCTGGCGTTGCTGGAGGAATTTAATTTTTTCCAGAGTCCTGGCCTCATAGTAAAATAACTCCCAGACCCCGCATAAGACCCAGCAACTCCCATGCTTGCAAGTCTCGCTCCTCGCTATGATTAGGCCCTCTGTGCCAAACACACAGTGATGTTTCTCCAGATACGCTCCGAGTTGGGAAAGGAAGAACTATGGGGATAAATGCTCACTGGCCCTGCCAGACCCGACCCGTTCCCTGGTACTGCACTGGTGCCACAGCAGCTTGCTCTGCTCTGTCCAAGTCCACGGGCTCAGAGCCACTGGACAGTGGCAAACTGGCAAACTCCCTGTGCCAGAAGACCAGGCGCTGTGCCACAGAGATCTCCACCATCTGGGTTTCTCGGAGGGTGAGGCCACTTCTGTAACAGGTTCTTGTCCTCTGACCCCTGGTACTCTGGGCTGGCTGGGCTCTGGAGCTACCCATCCAGTGCCTTAATGAGAATGACAAACAGGCACAGACTGAGGCAACACATACAAGACTGGTCATTCTGGGATGTTTCATTGAACATTCAAGGTGTTGTTTCTTTATATTTTCTGTTGCACTGTAATTGCAACTTTAAAACACAAAATAATGTAGCCATATGATCACACACTTCGTTCTCCTGTTTAGATTTCTGTTAATGTGCATTGTAAATCTTTTCTATGGTTTTGTAATGGTTTCTGCAGAAACCCGAAAGCATTCCATATAGACCTTTTTTAGGTTTCGGTGAAGGCCCGGTGTGTAGGTGTTGTCACGGCTGTGTTGTGTTCCAGCAGCATAGCAGACAATGGAGCAGTGCTAAGCTCTCATGCCCCCAAGTGGCACAGTACAGCACACCCATTAGTTGAACTGGAATATTCTGAAGGGTGAGGCGCAGAGTTCATCTCATGAGCAAGAAGCAAGCTTGTTGCATGGCGGCAGTCTTGAGCTAAGAAAATACAGAATCTTCCGCAAACAATTGATGGCTCTTACAAAGAGTCAAAAAATCTTCTGTTATTGTAAATAAGGTTTTAAAAATGATTTAATGTTGCATACAAAAATGTTGTATCGGTTTCCATCCAAAGTTTTCTTTTTATCCAGTGCTAGTTCATCCCCTGGGAAAGAAGATTGGTTTCCAAAAGCAGACTCCTCTCGCAAACACCAGTTTGTAATAAAGGCACTCTGTGGCCCCCTGTAGCTCTGCAGTCTTTCTCTTCAGTCTTCCCATGCAGGCAGGCCTGGGAGAGAAGAAAGCCTACCTTGTTCTGCTGCTTTATTCCGTTTTTATCCATGAGTGAACTTGTGTCTGCCGTTTCAGTGGCCCAGTGTAAGCAGGCAGCCCCTCCAGGGCTGCAGGTCACAGCCCCTCCCACTGAAACAGCCCCTTGTTGCTGTGCTGTCTCTTGCAGCCTTGGCTCTCCCCCAGCTGCACCACCTGATCCCTGATGGGGAGATCACCAGCATCAGGATCAACCGCGCCGATCCCAGCGAGGCCCTGGCCATCACCATCGTGGGCGGCAACGAGACGCCCCTGGTGCGCATTCTCATCCAGGACATCTACCGAGAGGGGGTCATAGCCCGAGACGGGAGGCTGCTGCCGGGGGACGTGATACTGAAGGTACGAGCCCGGAGCCTGGGCCAACGCTCCCCACTGTGGAGACTGGCGTGTGACACTGGGGGGTCACACTGGTGTCCCGCTGACCTGTGGGGTCACACTGTTGTCCTGCTGACCTGTGGGGTCACACTGTTGTCCTGCTGACCTGTGGGGTCACAGTGATGTCCCGCTGACCTGTGGGGTCACACTGGTGTCCCCCTGACCTGTGGGGTCACAGTGATGTCCCGCTGACCTGTGGGGTAACACCGGTGTCCCGCTGACCTGTGGGGTAACACCGGTGTCCCGCTGACCTGGGGGGTCACACTGGTGTCCCGCTGACCTGGGGGGTCACACTGGTGTCCCGCTGACCTGTGGGGTCACAGTGATGTCCTGCTGACCAGCTGACCTGGGGGGTCACACTGGTGTCCCCCTGACCTGCTGACCCGCGGGCTCTGTGTCTCACAGGTGAACGGTATCGACATCAGCGACGTGCCGCACCGCTACGCCGTGTCCGTCCTGAAGCAGCCGTGCCAGCTGCTGCGGCTCACCGTGCTGCGCGAGCAGCGGCACCGGCACCGCTGCGGCCCAGACGGCCCCGGCCCGCGCGACGACAGCCTGCACGTGATCCTGACCAAGAGCTGCCCCGAGGAGCAGCTGGGCATCAAGCTGGTGCGCCGGCCCGAGGAGCACGGCGTCTTCATCTTCCACCTGCTGGAGGGCGGCCTGGCGGCGCGCGAGGGGCAGCTGCGCGTCAGCGACAGGGTCCTGGCCATCAACGGGCATGACTTGCGCTACGGGGCGCCGGAGCACGCCGCCCTGCTCATCCAGGTGCTTCTGAGAGCCGCGTCACACCCCCCCGTGCCCCCCCGTGCCCCCGCGCCCCGGGAGCGTCTCCCCCCGGTTCGGGCCCGGCCCCCAGGCTGTCCGGGCCGGGCCTCGCCTCTCGTGGGCCGCGGCAGGCTTGTGTGGTCAGGGCTGGAGGCACTGACGGACGTGAATCACTCTCAGGGCTCCAGCCAGGAAAACGGTGCTCTTTTGCAGCCGGTCTGAAAAATGCGATCTTGTGTTTGCTTTGAGTAGAGAAGCCGGAGATGCCGGAGCGCTGAGAGTCTTAATTCCTCCGACGTCCCCAAGTCAAGACGCTCTGGTCCAGCCTGAATGTACCTGACTGTAGGATAGGGGCTTTGGACTGCACTGGGCTGGTGCGCTCGCATAACCTTCCCTGTGTTAGCCAGAATTGTACTGAAGGAAAGGGTTTCATGGCTGATGCGAAGATGCAAAGATTCTTGGTCATTTAGCTGAACTACAAACAATACATCATCATGCAGCACAATGAGAAGAGCCTCCTGCTCAAAATGACCCCCCCTAGTTAGCACATGCAGTGTGGAGAGCTGCATAAAATATTTAGAAGCTTTAGGATCTTTCAGATTATTTACTTCAAACATTATAAAGTGTGTTAACAGGTTTTTCACATTTACAAGGCCTTCTAACAGTAATATAAAATAATAAAATGCAAAGCAGTGGAAAGTTTGAGGTGTTTTACATCATTTATTTTCCTTTCTTCTGTGCATTTGCTGAGCAGCCGAAACCCTGTAAAGAAGTGTGGCTGTCCGGTAATGCCTGTGGTGACTAGTCCTGGGGTGTCGAAATACAACAGCTGAGGAGACACAGAAACAGACTCCCCTCCTGCCCAGCTCTTGACATGAATATTGGGGAAAGCACTGACCACACAGTTCAGCAAAGCATAGCACAGATCACAAAGGTGCTGAGTCAAGCCCCTGATCTTGTGAAGAGACGCACACAGCCCGACTAAGGAGAAACAAGTCTCGTTCGCTCCCCTCCCTGAGCAGAACATGAAAAACTGAAAACTCATAGATTATGGGAAATGAACAACTTGGTTTAATTGCCGATTCCGACACAGCCTCAGTCAGGAATAACGTCACTGTCCTGTTATAAAGACATGATCTCATTAATCTGAAACACACTTGGGAGGTTGTTTTTCTTCCTAGTCCTGGACAGATGAATTTGTTAATATAAGAAAGCAGCGTTATTTACTCTTCAATGCTTTTTGGGTACTGTTTTATGTATGTGAATGTTTCCTCACTCTGTATCAGACATTTTCTCATTACTTATCCTACATGTACTCCAGAGAGTTAGAAAATGTGACCACAACTCCTTGCAAAACATTTCCCTGGGAGATAAAATCAAGAGCTGGACAGAAAAGAAACTGATTAGGATGAATCTATTATTTTCTTTTCCAATTTCTGTGTGATTTTTTTCTGTCAGAGGTATAGAAAAAACGTATTCCAGTGTTTTGATAACTCCAAGAAATTCCCTCTACAAGACTGATGAATGATGCCAATGACCTCCACAAAAACCAAGTTGTGCCAATATTTCTCCATCTTATCTTCTTGTGAGTGTGTGTGGTGGAGAGAGTGTGTATATGTGAGAGCGTGCTATCTTCAGAGGAACAAATGATTACAAATCACCATCTCTCAGCCCTGGGGTTGCAAGAAGAGAACGCAAACTGCATTTGGCAAAGGGGTCCAATGTCTGACTATTTCAAAGGTTAAACAAAGTGTCATTGTTATGTTTAGTAAACATGTATCTAACAAAAGAACCCATTGCGTTAGATGGGAATAGTGCAGTAGTACATTACAGTAATTTATCACATTGTTGGACTGTTGCACACAAAAGACTTTTTATATGGCATGTTGTGCTTGCAGAACAAAGTTTTTAATGGATCTTAGCCAGTCTTGTAAAAGTCGATTGGCTTTCTGTAGACATCAGCGTTATTAAGTGACATTTCATTTGACCAAGATACAGATTACTGATGCAAATCACAAACTTTATCTAGATAAAATCTAAACTGCAAAGAACATACTTTTGACCATTAAGGTTTCCCGCTTATGATACAGAATTTGTCAATTATGTTGTATTGTTAAATATTATTTTTTTTAAGGGGGGAGGGGGGGGATATGTTCTAAATATTCTCAGTGGAAAGTTAGAGAGCTTAGTTTTCCTCAGCAGTCAGAAGCCGAAGGGAATGCTGTCCAAAGACAGTTGGACGAAGATGCTTGTTCTTAGTTCTTCGTGGACGTTAAGTAATTGCAAGATGAGCTGCAGCCACAGGTATTTCACAGCCTGTTGCTCCTGGTTCAGAACCACCTGAGAGAGAAAGAAACATTTTCACTGTTCAGAAACAGTGAGGCAATCCTCATCAATCCCAGACACATCCGCACCGGCCCACTGCAGTGCTCAAGCGTGTGTTTAGCCTGGATGCTGGGAGCTGAATGGCAGCCCCTTGCACTCAGAGGTGTCGCGTGCGGGACCCCTGTCCGCCGCCCCGGCTGGGTAGCAGGCAGCTCACGTCTGGCTCTCGTCCCACAGGCCAGCGAGGCGCGCGTGCACTTCATCGTTTCCCGGCAGTCCCGACCCCAGACCCCAGACATCCTGCAGGAGCCCCTCTGGACCATGAGTGGCCCCCCGCCCTACTCCCCCGAGGAGGAGGTCCACGCCAGCAAGGTGAGCCCCGGGCCGGCCCCCCCACAAGGGGGCTCTTCGGCGGCGCCCCTGTCCTCTCTGTAGTTGCCTCCTCTCTGTCTCTGCTCCTGCTCTGTAGCCTTGTAATTACTGTCCATCTGAGCTGTGAGCTGGCTTTGGCAAACCCAGTGCTTACTGACTGGTTTCTAGAGCCAGCAGCAGGTCTGTGTGAAGCTGTGACTGTAAACATCACAATAATAACTACATTCAGAAACATTGTAGTAGCAATGATGAGACTCAGTATATTCAAACGTGTAATTAAACTTTGTTAATTAGATTACTATGAATTGTGCTATGCAGGGCACTGTGAAGCTGCTTCTTTTTTTAATAGAAAACAAATTCTTAAGGATGCCGTATGTTGCAGAAACAAATATTTGTCTCTTGCTGGGTCCTTGGTTGACTAAAGACAGAATATCGTGACTTTTTTCCTCACCACCACACTGACATAGCCTCAACCCCCAACCCCCCAGCTGAGTGAACCCAGAACAAATTCCTTTATGCTGAAAAAAACCTACAAAAAACAAATTGCCCTTCGTCGACTTCTGTGTTCCACCCTTTCTACTTTATAGTGCTGAACAATATTATTTAGCTAAAAATAATCTTCAAAATAATCCAAATGGAATCATTTCTTGGCCAAACAGAGAAGCATAATCTAAAATCAATTATCTTTTTTTAATTTCACAGTGGAATAAAACTTCCTCAGCAGACTATTTGCAGCAGAATTGTATTAAGAAAATGTCCAAAAGATTTAAGGGATACTTGACTTTGTTCCTCTGGGATTTTCCCAACTTTATTAGTATAATCAGAGAACTGCCTTCTGCGTGAATTGAAATGTACAATTTCAATTTAGTGCACACAAATCGTTTTTATGGTCTGGATTTAATGGCTAATTTTGAGCTGCTGATTTTTTTACTGGTTACTGGTCTTTTTTATGAAAACAAGTATGAAACATTGTATGAAACATCTCTTTCAAAATTGCAGAGCTCTTTTTTTTCTGTGTGAAACCATTTTAAAACAAAATAAAAAAACATATATATTGGTCACTCTTAAATACAGTCTCATACTGCGAGAAGTTTTCTCTGACAGTTTGGTGGTCTGATTTGGGTGGCCTGTCTTTCTGTTCTCTAAAAGAATCCACTTAAACATCTTAGTGGGCCTCTGCTTCTACCACTAGTGTCTACTGCAATAAACCCATCGACACTCTTGAAGTGAGAGCTTGAAGTGTTAATTGTCTGGGTTGATTAACCCCTGACACACGACCTCATCTTGTCTGTGATTTGGAAAGGCTTTTCTAGCTTTGTTTTTTTCTGTTTTGCTTCCAAAGGAATTTTATTATCTTAATCTTAGAAAAATGTCATGAAAACAGTCCAGGGAATCAGAGCCACAAAACAGAAATTTTCAGCTGTGTCAAGGTTCCATTGCTTCTGTGCGATCAGTGTAAACTGCCTTTATGTCTCTCGCCTACACAGCAGTGTCCCTGAGCGTCTCAGTCAGAATTAGGAAAAACCGAGAAGATCTGATCTGCACTCGACAGCCCGGTTTCTGAGACACAAGGCTTCTGTTTTATTTAGACACAAAGGGCTGTGTCTGTGCGGGAACCTGCCCTGTACTGTAAGACAGTAAGACATCTCCTGCACAGTAATGGCACTTCTGCATCTTGTGTAGAAAATGTGAGAGCTGAAGGCACATTAGGATAGAAGAGGACTGACAGTAATATTGATGGAAAGATCAACAGTAAAGCCCCAGGCTTATATACTTTCTGGGGAGGCGCACAGCCCAGGACTGGGGGTGTCACTGGAGGTGAGGCCCCTCGGTTCTAAGAGCCAGGTGCCTGTGCAGCCAGATCATGGGGTCCCCGTTAAGGGTTGGGGTGCAGCAGGAGCCCCAGCTGACAGGTATGGGGCGCAGAGGCTGGCCGGGGTCACAGGCAGTGGGCCGCAGACAGGGTGGGCTGGGTGTGTCTGCAGGAGAATGTGCTCAGATGTGGGCAAGAATAAACAGTGTCCGCTTCAAGCCTGGGATCTGTCAGGAGGTCGACAGAGTCGTGGTACATGTTTATAAAAAGTGTACTTAATTCACTTGCAGTGGCTGAAGGCTTTTTTTTCTCTTTATCACTAATGAAGCTGTGCCCTTTAAGTAAAGCTGTAGCTTTTCTTATCTCTTTCATTTTTTTTCTTATCACTTGCTGTCCGGGACCAGAGTCCTGTAATCTGAAACCAGCTTTTCTGATTGCTTTTGTTTGATAAAGTGTTTCACTCACTAACACAGAGAAGTTCTGAGTCTGTTGGGAACTTGGAAATGTTTAATAAGACAATGTACTGTAGAACATTATGTGACACGTGTTTATAAATGATTGTCTGCCCATAAGCATATTTATATAGATACAAAGGCAGCACTTGATAAAATTTTAGCACAACAAATGCATAAAAATACAGTTTGTATAATTTTAGCTAATTGCTCATTGCATTAATTTTGAAGATAAAATATTAATGTAATGCAATAATATATGATTAAATGAGTAATCTAATGATATTATAAGATAACATGAACCCCTATTATTCTTCAGTGGCACAAGCCTCTGTAAAGTAACATACAGACGGACTGTCCGAGAGCAAACTGTTGGTCACAGAATCAGAAACCTGGACAGTCCTGAGCTCAGGACAGGCTGTTTCAGACACCTGATGTCAATTACCTGCACTGCTGTCACATTAGCACTGGTTGCAGGTGGCATAGAAACGCAAATGAAAATTTTAAATAAGGTTTAAGCTTCAGCTACAATTTCCTGCCTGCTACAGACATGGTTGAGTCCCAGTCTGTCTGCGTAGCACATTAAAAACAATTTTCCAAGAGCTGTTCATAATTACAAGTTTATTAACAACAAAGCACTCCTGTTTCTTCAGAGATAGAGGTGGCTTTCCGGAGCTGAGAGCAAGTTCCTCTCTGATCCTGTGTTTTATTCCTGCCTTTCTGCTTGAGGGCCGCGTGGGAGAGCATTAGGGTCTCCACACAGACACACAGCCACGGGCCCCCCTGCTCAGACCCCCTTAAACAGAGCAGCCTGGCCAGGTTCCTTTCAGACGCTGTTCGAGGAAAAGAAAAATGTAGATATAAAATAAAAAACATTCTGAATTTTACTTCCTTAGAACCACTGAAATTCTTTTTATGCCATATATTTTCAAGGATACAGTTGAATGCTGTTTCACTTCTTTTATTGTTTTTCTTTGATATCTGGGGACCCACTAATTCTACCCAGTAATGAGGTTGTTCTGCATTGATTAATTGAATCCATTACATTTGTGTAGCTCTTTCCATGACAGAGAATCCCAATCTTGTTACATACAGGGTGAGATTCACTTCCCCCAGTGACACACAGAGCAGGGCAGGAGTGACAAACTGCTGCACCAGGTGAATAAGAGAGGACTGGGGGTCAGACTGGGCGAGCCCAGAGAGGAATTGAGCCAGGACACGGGGGATCACAGCCCTACTCTTACATCAGTGCTGCAGGATCTTTAATGAGCAGGTCGCAGGACCTCAGTTTAACGTCCCAGCAGAAGGGAACTCCTCTTACAGCACAGCTTCTCCGGCCACAGCCATGGAGCACAAGTGTGCGCAGATCTGATTAGAGTGAGCAATTTCTGTCATTAACCGATAGGTCAGCAGACTCCAGCCGGCAGCCTCTCGAAATAAACAGACGATTATTCAACTCTCGTTATAGTGCATTTCAGGGAAACAGAATGTTAAAATGCTGCTGAAGAAGAGAGAGCCGTCAGGTTAAATGTTCACCAGAGAAGTCGGCATAACTGAGATGCTTGTCTGTGTTTCTCCCCTAGAGTGTATGTCATAATCCAGACTGCATAGAGAAGAGTGTGACCCTGACCAAAGAGCCCCACGACTCCCTGGGCATGACGGTGGCCGGGGGGATGATGAGCCGGGGATGGGACCTGCCAGTTTACGTCACCAACGTTGACCCCGATGGGGTGGTGGGGAGAGAAGGCTCCATAAAGAAAGGTACCCCAGGGCAGACAACGCTCCTGAGAAAATAAAAATACACAAGCGCATAGGGACGTTTACAAACGAGAGGATATTTGGTCCATCTGGCCGGTTTGGTAGCTAGTAGCTAATTGATCGGAGGATCTCTTCCAGCTTCTTCAAAGAAATCAGAGTATCAGCTTCAACAACACAGCTGGGCAGCTTGTTCCAGACTCCCACAACTCTATGCGTATAGAGCCTCCCATTTTCAGTTTAAAGTGCACATCTTGTTTCCACTTGCATCACCTGGTTCGTGTTTCACTGTTCAATCAGAAGATACCTGCTGGGTTGACGTTGGCGATGCCTTTGAGGATTCTGGGTACTTTTATCAGGTCCTCTTGTAAGTGCTTCTGTTGAAACCTAAAGAGATTTGTGAGTCAGTGCAGCTCATTCCCTGAAGCCCCAGGATGTGTCTGGTGGCCAAACTGCAAGATCTTTTGCTCTCAATAGCTCCCGTAAGCAAGATTTAATAAATTTTTTGAATATTGCTGCTTCGAAATGATGTTCTTACAGTATATTCTTATAATCCTGTGATCCTGTCCAATTTTCAGAGCAAGGCTAATTCTGTGTAAAAGAAGCTTTCATATTTCCAAGGCAGGGACTGTGCCAAAACTCTCTGCCTCCAATATTTGGCTTTTTCATAAATTCCTTGCTATTATAAAAAAGTAAATTGTAGACTGTTTTGGAAGTCTGTTTGGTTAAGGTTTTTTTTCTCACTTCCTCTCTGGCACACCTTAGGAAATAAAACACTGAATTTTCCATAATATTTCAGTATTAACCACAATATTAAACACAATCTGGAAATACTTATTTCCAATTTCAGACACTTACATAATAACCTCATTAAAATAAAGCTTCTTAAATCTTCAACATGTATTTCCTTGTTAAGATTTGTTTATTGTTGCTACAAGCAAGCAATCTTTTGTGAATTTTAACCAACTTGTATGTGTTGGATTACCTGCTGTAGGCCCTGCAGTAGAACCACCAGTGTTAAACATGCTGTCTTTAAAACAACTTGCCTTTTTCTCTTCAATTCAGCTGCCTGTGATCCTGCTTATCAGCTGAATCCAGTGTGGAGGTTCTGAATAGGCAGCCTCCTGAAAACTGATCAGAGCTAAATCTGGCCTCATCAGCTAATTAAGATGGTAAATCCCAATTATTCCCAAACTGAACACAACTGAATTTCCCACTGCGAAGATACATCCAGTTTAGATAATCAGGTACAAAGCATTGTTTCTGAATCGTTCCAGAGCTAAGTTGTACCGTCAGCCTTGGTGCCGAGATTCAGCGCTGTCCTCTTTGTAACGGACTAGTTCCAGACTGTATTTAACTCCTGCTGATCCGGTGCATGCTGCTGAATCTGCTGGCACGGATCACCGCTCCGTGCGACTGGCTTCTCCCTCGGTGGGAGATCCCGGGAGCAGGAGACAGTGACAGGCCGCCGGCCCCCTGTCCTCTCCAGGAGACATCCTGCTGAGCGTGAACGGGATGGACCTGACCGGGGTGACGCGCGGGGAGGCCGTGGCCAACCTGAAGAACACCTCCTCCCCGGTGGTGCTGAAGGTGCTGGAGATGAGGCGGGCGGAGGAGCTCCCGGCCGACGGCCCGCCGCTCCCTGAGGCCCCCAAGGGCCACACCTCCGGCGATGACTATACGCCCCAGTGGACCTCCTGGCTCCAGCTGCCCAGGTGAGCTCGTGAGCAAGCAGGCCGAGGCCACAGGATGTGTGTTTCAACCCTGCTGGTTTCCTGTCGCCGGGAGGCGGGACTCTGAATCGATGCAGGGCCAGTCTGCTAGTCATTCTAACGTCATACATACTGTATTTGTTCCTAGGAAGAGCTGCTTGAAAACCATTTGCTTTTTAATATTACTTTACACAATTATTACTCTATTGTGTAATTATTTTACACAATAACGCCCTTGATCATCTTTATGTTAAATGGTTAAATAACCTGAATGGTTTCCGTTGACAACATATCCTGAACTTGAGCGCTCTTCACTCGAGAGTGCGCAGATCTGAGCCGAGTGTGCTGCACTGACCGCCTCTGTGCTGCTGTGCTCCAGTTCGAGGGGCAGTGTCACCCTTCTGTGAAACAGGCTGAATTCATAGAAATGTATTCAGCAGAAGATAGTCAGCACCTGACTGAGAAGAACTGTATAAAAGTTTCTTGCTGAGCAGAATAAATGTAAAGAATATTTTTTAGGGAATGAGTTTTAAAAAATATATAAAGGAACAAGAAAATAGATCCTACTTTAGGATGAGGCCATACCATTGCAGTGAAAATGTAATCCCATCCTAGTGTCTTTTTCAGTTTTTTTGTGTCTTTTCAACTGAGTAACTTGGACATCCAGTTTGCAGAAGGAAAAGGGACGAGGGAGAGTGACCTCAGTCAGACAGATAAATGACCTGTCTCTGCCTTCAAGTGTGTGACAGCACCACTGTTAGGACAAGGATGGATGTCAAACCCTTAAGGCATCTGAAAGCTGACTGAATCAGCATCTTCTCTGAAAAAGTATGTAAACAAAATGCTGATTCACTCAATCTAGTTCAATTCTGACATTTCTGTTAAAATACGTCAGTCACCCACCTAATGACAAATGCTGTCAAAGATTCTCCTCTTTCCTCAAGAGAGAATATGGAACACTATGCTACTCCAATGGCTGAGAGATACAGCTTAACCTTTATTACTGTTTTCTACACAATCATACCACAAACTACTGCATGCAGTATTTATAAGATAACAGTGAAATAAAATATCAGAAACTGTATAGTAAGCTAAAACAAAACAGGAACATATGATCCAGTTCTAGGACTACAAACCTAGAGAACTCTGGAAAAAGTAGCAGATATTAAACCTGAAGAACTGCACAATAGTGCAGTTAATAGTGCAGAAATAATTCAATGGGAATACTCATTAAAAAGATAGTTCTCATATGTGCTTATGTGCCATTTTTATCACTTTATTAGAGGGGCAATGTTAGCTGAAACACAATTGCCTGTGAAACAATGTAGGCAATCCCATTTAGTTTCAGTACAAAGCTGGGAGCAGTGCTAATGGGATGTAAAAGCTGTTATGCCCTGAGCCATTCATTGTGTTATAGCTGACAGGAACAAATAGGCTGTTGAAATTAAGAGGTCACTGCAATTTTCGCAGTCATGTTCCATGTAAAATTATTATGGCCTAAATGCTTATTGAAATTGAGGTGCTATTTGTCCAGATATAGCTCACCTGGCTCCAAGAGTCTGGAATTCATTGTGTGCTGGAGGAGATCCATGCTGTGCAATTAGAGAGTGAAATCTGTGAACCCCAGGCAGCCTGCTGGAAATTCAAGTGGACTGAGAATCCTGCTTTCACAGCACACAGGTCTCAAGGTGCTGCTCAGAGTTGGGGCTCATCGAGCACTATGCATAATGGATTATTCCCCTCTGCAGCCTGGAGGCGGTCAAGCAGTTGCCCCTCTGATGTTTAAGACAACAGAAAACTAGTACTTTAAACCAGGCCCATTGATCAGCACGATCAGAGGGTTGAATAGTGAATGAAAACAAAATTAACATAAAATTGATGAGAATTTTACATTAATTGATCAGTATTCCGTTAAAGACAGTGACTCTTCTGTAAAAGTGATTTTCCTGTTCACCTCTTCTGCCTGTGTGATGGACACGCACAGAGCAGCAGGTGTCCACAGGGTGAAGTGGCGCCTGGGTTACTGTCAGGTTCGAGGCAGGTGAGGCTCAGCCCTGGTCTCATCATCACAGACTGAAAATCCCTGATCCAGGAAAGAACACAACATGACATTACTAAAATACTCAATTAAAACTTCTGATGCAGGAATTACAGAATCATTTTATGGTGCTGATTTTTCACTAGCAAGCTGAAGGGAACACAGTTATTTCAGACTGGCTGGATTAATTTAAAAAAAAGACTTCCAATGAGAAGTCAGCTTTTGCTAAAAAGAAAGGCTCTCTGAGCAGTCTTCAATCTCAATGCCTTTGTTTCTCCAAGTTTGTCACAGGCTGTAGGAAGTGTGCATGACTGAATCGGACAGCAGGACAGCGGGAGCATCTTTCTTGATAAATCAATTCAGTACTTGCAGTAGCCGATTCTGGATGAGATCAAGCAGCTACTGACAACCAAACATCCTCCTCTCGTTGGCGAACTTTCGGACTTTTTCTTTAACGTTCTTATCCTGGAGTGGCAACTGTCACTTCTGTCCCAGATTGGTTTTACTTCAATGCTCTATCAATCCATTTTGAAGAGATAAACCAGCATGAAAAATCTTTTGGTGATTTTATTAACAAGAAACACTTTAAAAGAAAACTGTATTTTTAGTGGCTGATGCGATTACAATAGTGCAGGAGCACAATTACGGACAGCCCGACCCAGAACAGCACATGAACAGTCTGTGAACAATGTTTTCCAGCATTGCTTCCACAGAGCAAAGATCTGTGCATATATATACCATACCTATATTCTGTGTGCACTTGGCTGACATTGTGGATTTTTGTAAAGCTTCCGGTAAATTATCATGCTAGACGTGGATTTTGGTTTTTTTTTCATATCATTCATCACAGGCGACACCAGCAGAAAGGCAAGCCAGAAATGAACAGAAACTGCTTACAGTCCAAGCGTTTTTTCGAAAGTTTATGGCTCCACTTTCTTGTTCTTACAGTGAAATCTTTAGAGGATACAGCAGACGAGGTACACTGGACCTGTGAAAGATTGTGGAATCGACCTGCTTTATTTTTCTGATGGAACCTAATTCCTATATTCAGTGAAGTCAACTGTAGAGCTCATGCAGTCTGTCCCAGACTGCATGAGCTCTACAGTTGACTTTACTGAATATAGGAATTAGGTTGCTGGAAGCCATCTAGAATAACCAGTTTTCTGAGCCATTTTGTTTTCCTAACACCTCTTGCATATGGTTCAGTTTAAACATCGACACAAAGACAACACACCTTTTCCACCGGATTAAGTTGCATGTCGGCAACGTTTCCGATCTCTTGCGTTCCCAGGTACCTGTCCTGCTGTAAAGATATCGTCCTGAGGCGGAACACGTCGGGCAGCCTGGGCTTCAGCATCGTGGGAGGTTACGAGGAGAAGAACTGCACCCAGCCGTTCTACATCAGGTCTATTGTGGAAGGGACGCCGGCTTACAACGACGGCAGGATAAGGTACGCCTTTGCACCAGTAAAATAATGACATTTTCAAAACTCGGGACATCAAAACCAATTTTGTATTAATTGGTTTAGCAATTTTGGTTCAGTATTAAACGGCGTGCGTGTGAGATGGACCGCGCCGTGCCTATGGCCAGGCCTTTAAGGCCCCGGTGGAGAGAGAGCAGGTGAGTGGGTATGTGAGGACAGAGCTGGCGCCCGGTCACTGGCTCAGCGGTAGCAACAGGGCAAGACACAAAAAGACAGGCCGCCAGCGAGCCCACATCCAATCATGACAAACAGAACAAAATCCGCTTTTCCAGCGTGTGGCTCATTTTCTTTTGACTTGTAGTTGGAAAGCAACTTTCGTTCAGTCTTTGCATACTTGCATCGCATTAGCTCACCTTTACTCTTTCACAACCAGCATACAAGGTAGTAATACAAGGGACTATTACAAGTAACTCAGTAACACAAGGGAGAGTAAAATCAGTGCTCGTCCATGTGGGTTATGCCACGTGAGACTTAGTGAGCTTGACGACCCTGATCAGCTTCTCCTGCACTCTCATTTCCCCAAATATATCCTCAGCATGTGGAGGAGTTTCAGCTAGTGGAGGGGGGTGTTGGAAAGCAGATACCCTTCAATCCTCCACTGGTTTAACTGCCACATGAGAGCAGGAGACGGGATGGTTATTTCTGATTGAAAATGGCCTTCTGACACCCCCTGTTCCCCTCTCAGGTGCGGCGACCTGCTGCTGGAGGTCAACGGGAAGAGCACTTCGGGGATGACGCACACGGCGCTCGTCAGGATGCTGAAGGAGCTGCGCGGCAGGGTCACGCTGACGATCGCGTCCTGGCCCGGCAGCCTCCTATAGGAGGCAGGAGCCGGCCGGAGCCGAGCTGCCGCGGGGGGCTCCGAAGAGACGCCGCACAGCCGCCACTCGCTTTGCCTGGAGCTCACAGGGAGGAGCGCACCAGCACCGCAGGCCAGGCCACGTCCCGGTACGAACGTCCGAAGCACTGTGCTGAGCAGCTCCACGGGTTCTGCTGTCCTGACAATCCAGGGGAAGCTGGGAGGGAGCACGTTGCTAACTACAGTTATACGTTAGAATATGCATCTCATTGGACTCACGTTACTTACTGTAAATGTTGCTGTCTGAACATACAGATTCAAGCACTTGTATTCTTTTTAAATGGCCTTTTAAACAATACAGTGGGTCTTTTTATCGTCCGTACTGCAGTGGTTTCCATTTCATCATCTGTTGAGAAACGGGGGGACACTTGGCGATGCAGCTGCAACATTCTTAAACAACCTCAGTAGATGTGTTCTTAATCTGTGCAGATGTGACATTATCATGGAGGCCTTACTGATTTTCATACTTGTGAAAAACTTTTCTGTCTTTATCTGTGGAAGTTCCAATCTCTGAGAAGTTGTTTGATATGGTGTTTACTTCCAGTTGTTTTAATTGCTTGAGCCTATGTAATATATCTGATGCTAAGTTTGGTAAAAAAAAAAATAAAGTTCTGGAAAAGGAGAGAAAGCTGTGTGCTTATGCCTGCCTATTCCTCACTCCCCTGCAGTTTAAACTTGTGGTTTCCAGTTTACGTGTCACTATTCATGTGGAAGATGGGTTGCCGTTGTCAATGACTTTGAGGAATTTGAATATGTGAATCAGGTTCACTTTGAAAGAACAGATGATAACTTCAAAAGCCTGTGATAACTACTGCTGCCCATCTGTGACAAAGGCTGCATGTGCCCATACACACACTATGAAGAAGTAACTGGATACTGCGTGGAAGAAATTAAATGTGATATCAAACATACTGCATATGCTTTAGAAACACTCAAAAAACAAAATATTACAGCACACAGACTATAGTGCCTGACCTTGTTTTTTCAATTTTACATCTATTTAATACTTAACCAAAGAGGTCAATCATTACCAGCTCCCTTTAAGAGAAAATCTGATTTTCTAGTATGGTCTCAGTCTAACGGACTTCTAATGATAAAAATATAAAATGATTTTGTTGGGGCAGTAGGAATAGCTGTATCACAGTTACTTTAGCTACAAAGCAAAGCAAAATATATTCACAAAATAAGTGTTCTATATCTTTGCTGTACTTGAAGGTGCAGACTACATAAACTGAAACGTTTTAACAGCTTTATTGTGCTGGTCATAGTCATACACAATGTTTCCTTAAGCTGCTAGCAGTTCAAAGACATTTAATCGAGCCTCGGATTTAGTTTTTCCATGAGTGATCTAATTGTTAAAATAACTGAAAGGAAAGAGAAAAGGGCTCAGCACCACGCCAGAAGGTGGCCTCTTGGTGAGACATGCAGTGGTTTAACTGCTGCAGTGTCCAACACTTCCAGCCCAGCACAAACTGACCGAAAAATGACCGCTAACAAAAAAATTATCAAAAGCTCGCTTTTTTTTATTCGACAAATTATCATATTTTCATAGTGCTTCATGCACCAAAACAACAAAATATTTTAATACAAGTCTGCGGTTCCGACCAGTGTTGAAAACTTCCCAGAATTAAGAAATAAAACTGGTATCTTTCCAGTATTTTGTTTTTGATAATGTTAGAACTTAGTAGCACTCGACAGGATACAAACACAGCCCCCAGCCCTCCCTCACTCCAGGCCCCCGGCTTCGGAGTTCTCCTGCTCCGCGGAGTGCTCCTCTCCTGCCGGCTTCCCTTCGCGGCTCCTCTTGGACTTCTTGTGCTTGTGCCGCCGGTGCCCGTCCCCCTCCTCGCTGTCGTGCCTCCGCCTGCTGCTGCTGTGGGGCAGAGCGAGAGTGTGTGAGCGAGGCCGGGAGCACCGCTCACCTGCACCTGCGCCATTCCCCGCAGCCGAGGAACCGCCTCCCCCGGCTCCGATCTCCACCACAAAGACCTCCGGCTGCAGGCTGGTTGAGCGACTGTTCCAAAGCCTTACTGACACGCTGGCCATAACGCACATCTGCGGACCTCGGCAATCACGACACACCTGCAGTGTCCCGATGTCAGCGTGAACCAGCTCCGGTGGCAGGGCAGTGGTAACGTGCCACTGCTTGGCTCCAGTTCAGGCACAGAATACTGGACTCATCATTAGGCACAGTTTTCCAAAACACAGACTTCAAAAGGCCAGTGAATTTTCTGTGACGGACACCAAGCGGAGTGCCTGGTTCAGAGCTGGGTTGCTGTAAACATGCTTCCCTGCAGATTAGAAGCTCCTAGTTCCTGGCTATGGAACAGATCATCTGAGCAGCCCAGCGTGAAGTCTAAGGCCAGCC